TATATATATATATATATGTATGTATGTATGTATGTATATATTGGAATCACATTAGTTAGCACATGTCATATACACTATATCTGAAACTTTCTTCGTCACAAACTTTAGCATAGATTGACCTGTTAAAAAAGCCAATAGTATTATCATCAACTTCAACTTTAAGAATGGAGGTAATGAGGGAGTTGCATGGTAGTCCGATTGGAGGGCGTGGATGAGTAAAGAGAATACAACCTCGAATCATAACACAATTTTATTGGCCAAAAAAAGAAATAATAATAATATTCAACACTTTGTCAATACTTGTCCAATTTGCCAACAAACAAAATATGCAACCAAAAATTAGCTAGGTTTTTACAACCCTTGCCAATTCCAATGACAAGTTGGGAAGAAATAACTATGGACTTCATTACTGGTTTGTCAAAATCTCAAGTAAAAATGTTAATCTTAGTGGTGGTAGATAGATTATCAAAATATGCTCATTTTTTTCCTCATAAGGGTAATTTCTGAGCCACTATTGCAACCATTTTTGCAAGAAATTTTTGTGAGTTATATGGCATCCCTCATACAATTGTATTAGACAAAAATCCGATTTTATGAGCTCTTTTTGGCAAGAATTGTTTCGATTGAGTGGAACAACTTTATGCCATAAAATCTCTTACCATCCTGAGACAGATGAATAAACAAAGTTCGCAAATAGAGGTCTAGAATAGTGTTTGCGAGGCTTTTTAATGGATGAGCTAACAAATTGGTTGAACTTTTTTACCTTGAGTAGCATTTTCATAAAATAAACCGCTTATATATCATATTGGATGACACTTTTCAAATAGTATATGGAAGACTTCCTCTTATATTCCTCACAATGGTAGCTCCTCTATTATATAAGCTATTGAAAAATAGGTGTGACAATGGGGTAAAATCCTCGAAAGGCTCCAGAGCTAATTTTTAGCGAACAAAAAATCGAATTAAACAATTAGCTGATAAAAAAGTAGAGAATCAATATTTGAGATTGATGAGTTGGTTTTGGTTAAACTGTAACCTTATTGACAGACATCACTACTTTATCATCATTTTACCAAATTGAATCACATATATTATGGACCCTTTCTAGTTAAAGCTCGAGTAGACATGTTTGCGTAGAGATTCAAACTACTAGAAACAACTAGAATACATCTCGCTTAATGAAATCCCATCCTCTCTTCCAGCTCAATATATAGTAGGACAACCTTTAACCCGTTCAAAGCAATACTTGAGTAAAGAACAATGATACAAGACAACAAACAAATCATGCAAGCACTAGTACAATAAGATGGATTATTAAAGGAAGATGGCTTTTGGGTCTCATTGGAGGAATTATGTGTGATTTATCTTGAATTTTGACATTGAGGACAAGGTTGTTTCTAGTGATGGGGGTAATAATGTGATACAACCTAAAATAAGCAGAGACAAACAAATAAGAACAAGGAGTAGCCTACTGCGATGAAATATTTTGCAATAAAATATCTAGGTTTTAATTCTAATTCGTTCAATAGTGTGTTGTTATCCAATTGTTATTTTGTTAATAGCAATAACTAGCTTAAGCTGTTTTCAGTTAGTTGGTTATGACAATTGTAATAATACTTTTTCTTTTGGCTAAAACTGCTATAATATCAATTCTATAAATACAAGACTAACGCTGGTAGGGCAATAGGAGATCTTTCCATGTTTTAGATCTCGTTTCTTAATCTAAATTTGAGTTAAAATTTTGTGGAATTTGGGCTGCTCGAAATCACATAAGTCTGTGAAATCAATTCACACAGTGAAGGGAAATTTCATAGATGGAAAAATGGGTGTTGTTCACCTCAGTACTATTATCTTTTGCTGAAGTAATTTTTGTAAGTTACCACATGTCATGCATGATTGATGTTTATGCTAGAATAAAAGACAAACATAGAGTACATGATTCCAACTGAAAACATAAAAAAAGGAGAATGTAGAAAACATTGTGTTGTTCGATCTCTCTCTGTTCCAGCTACTCTATCCTAATTTCCTTCAAGTGCTGCCAATAGCTCTCCTACAAAAGTCTCTCAAATATTTGAATAGATTCTAAAATATCCCTTGTCTGGCTCTTTTATATTTTTTATAAATTATGTTCAAAACTTCAATGTTTTTGATTTTTTGAACCTTATTGTCAGGCTTGTGCCTGACTAAGTGCTTAGGTGTCAGGCGCTTGAACAAATTTTCAAATTTGAGTTTATTTTTGAAAATGACATGTTTGACACCTAGGGTTAGGCGTTGTTGAGCTCTTGATTTTTTGGCCGTCATGAGTATGTGATTGGGGTTCGATCATCAGTTGTAGTGCCCGAGCGCTCGTTCATGAATTCCGGTACTAGGGCCTTTCGAATGCCCTTTAAGCTTGATAATACTTGGGTAGTTTCAATTGCTCATTTTACGCATTTTGCCTGTGAAGTCCTTTGAGAACTTGAACTTCCTACATAAGTCAACTTAATGAATTAATGCAATAGATTTTCGAAATTTAAGCAAAAATAACTGTTAAATCAAAGATCTAACATTTATCACTTATACCTCTCCTCTACCTTCATTATCAAAAGAATGCAATTGAGACTGGCTCAAATGATGTTACATGCCATCACAATTTGGCTAATTACAAGCTCATTCTTCTCTACCATTATCCTCTTCAAAAAGGATGGAATATCTCTTCCATTATTCTCATAAAAAAGGAAGTAATGTGGAAATTTTGCATTGATTAATGTGCATTCAACCAATCTATCATCCTGAATAAATTTCAACCCTTACGTCAATGACATGCTGAAGAACTTCACAATGTTTTCAGGATTCTTTGACTTAGCACACTGCTCTCAAATTTGTTTTAGGCTTCAACCTTATTGTGGTAATGCTTACCGCTTTGCTCTGATTCAACATGATGCTTTCATTAGAGTAAAACTGAGAAAGAAGCCTTTGTTCAACATAAAACTAAGCCAATCCATACTTGACTTGGTCGGGTAGTTTTTAGCACAAGTGCCCTAGTTTGGTTAACCCTCTTTCATTATTACTCAAAAATTTCATCATATCTCCTGCCTTTTGTTTTTATAGTTGCCACACTTAATCTGGAGCCTTGATCTATTGATTATCTAAGCGTTGCTATTGTCTTACAGTAGATGATAATTATCTATTACTGTTCAGTTCATGCGAATTCTGTGTGCCTCTTCTTGTCTGTCTTTAGTATTTAATCTTTCTATTCATCATCTATTATTGCTAAACTATGTAGAGAAATGCTTTAAGACCATTTTTCTAGAGATTTGATGTTCAATTATTCTAGCCAAGCATGAATTTAGAACTATATTACTTCGACACTGAAGAGATTTGTTTTAGACCTTGAATTTCAGGAAATTTTTTATGATTTCTATTACATCACCTTGATAGTTTTTCTTTCCTTTGTCCTTGGTGTCTACTTCCACTTGCTACTTTATACTTTTGCAACATATAATATCCGGTAATGAGCTGTCACTCATGAGAATTAGACAACTTTTCCAATAATATTTGCAGGATGTCATTTTAGTCTTCTTTCTATCTTGCAAATGTCTCCGGACATTGTTTAATATTTTAATATAGGATGTACTATGATTGTATCCTGTTGACGACTTCTTTATGTTGCACTAACAATTTTAGGTACCAAGTAGTTGAAACCTTTTGTTGTGCTGTTTATTGCAGATTCCTCTTTCATCTACGAATGAGGATCTTCAGAATCTCCTTTCCCGGAAGAGAAGAATTGTTGCTCTAAACAAGAAGGATTTGGCAAACCCCAATATAATCCATGTAAGTTATTTCTTGGGTTACAGTAGTTCATATCATGATATAATTTTTAGCCTTCTTCTTCGTGGATAATCTCCTAGTTTCATGACAGCAAATATTTTTAGTTGCCTGTTGATGCTGGGAAATCATGAAAAGAAATAGAAGAAAATAACAAAGAAGAAAAATATGAATAATGTTAAGAAACTATAATTTTACATACAAGCCACACGCATGAGCAATGAGATTATTCCTCCTGGAAGCGTTTGCATCTCAACTTGATTAAGAATCAAATTCGTGAATATATGAAGGAGGGCCTTCACAACCACATCAAAAAGTTTACTCATGCCATGAAACTTTCTTACGTACTTAAAATGTATCTATTATAAATTTTTATGGAATAACAAATTACTACCAAATTATTAATGGAACAACACTACCACTTTTGGGTGTAAAAACCAACCTTAGATTAAAAGAACATCGGCTATAGAAATTCTGAATGGGTTATGGAACTGGAATCCCACTCTCACTTTAGGTTGTGACAACCATCAACCATAGAAGCATTAAATAACTCTTTTAAACGATTATAATAATGGAACAACAGTGCTCCAGCTTCATGTCGCAAGATAAGGCCAACAATGCCAGCTATGCAACAATAGCAACTAATTCATTACAATCATATAACGCATTCCACTCTCATAAGCTTCATCACATGCATGCTAACTGTGAAAAAGGAATTCCTCTAAATAGGGAAGAATAACAAATAGTAAATATAAATAAAAGAGAACAACATTAGTGGAATATATTTTGAGAGTAGGAAATTAATTTCTTCCTAATGCGGATTTGTACTTTTCTGCACTCCCCCTCAAGCTCAATTGTATGTATTGTGCAAAACCAAATTTTTGTTTTCATCTCATTATGACCGACCCTTGGTAGTGCTTTGGTGAGAATATCAATAATCTTAAGTTTTGAGGGAAAATAACTAAGCAAGGCAATTCCATTGTTAATTTTTTTTGAGGTGAAGTGTCGATCAATCTCGATGTGTTTACTCTATCTTGATGCACGGGATTTTGACATTACTTATAGCCTCTTGAATGTTTTAATTTTGTCCTTTGTCTCAACCTTAAAGTTTTCTTAATAGTCTTTGCAACCACATTTCTTCATATATTCTTAGTGTAAGAGCACGATCCCTACTTTGAGAGACAGCGGATTATTTCTTACTTTCCCAAGCGTTGAGATTGCCCCGGATGCATGAACAGTATCTAGTATCCAGATTATGCACTACTTTGAGAGACAGTGGATTATTTCTTACTTTCCCAAGTGTTGAGATTGCCCCGGATGCATGAACAGTATCTAGTGGTTGATTTCCTATTGGTTACCTCTCCTGCCCAACCAGTATATGTGTATATCTCAATATCACGATTTTCATTTTTTCTAAAAAATAACCCATATCTAGGAGTCATTTTCAAGAATCGTAAAATTTTTCTCTACATCCAAATTATTCTCATTTAGATGTATGAACAATATCCAGTGTTCAATTTTCTATCAATTACATCTCTTGCCCATCTAGCACCTGTTTATATCTCATTATCACAATTTTCATATTTTCTAAAAAGCAACCCATATCTAGGAGTCATTTTTAAGTAACTTAAAATTCTGTTCTCTACTTCCAAATTATCCCCACATAGATCATTCTTGTGTTGGCTTACTACACTAACCGAATATGCAATGTCAGTTCTCGTGTGTGATATACAGATAAGCTTTCTAACAAGTCTTTGATGGCCTACTATATCAAGTGGACAACTTGTTTCACCTATGCTAAACTCTTTGTTGGGATCCATGGTTGTGTTAGCCGGTTTACACTCAAGCAAACTCATTTTATTTAACAGATTTAAGATTACCTTTTTTGGGATATCACAATTTTCTCCTTACACCGAGTCACATCCATTCCCACAAAGTATCTGAGAGTTCCGAGTTCCTTGATCTCAAATTATGTTGCAAGCATTCTTTTTAGTCTGATAATTATCTTTGAATCATTATCTATCAAAATAATATCATCTACAAATACTATGAGAATTGCAATTTTGCCTCTGTGATTGGATTTAACAAAATATGTATGATCAGCTTCACACTGATGACATGAGTTAGCCTTTAGGTGAAGGGAAGTGGGAGCTCTAGAGTGGGAGCCGGTATCCTCCTAGCCTAGCCACAGATTTAGGGACTAAACCTAGGATTAGCCAAAGATTTTCTATGCACTGTATCAGGTTAGAGAATTATAATTGGCACAATACATATTATAAAAATTTATCTCATCTCTTCACTAGAACCTCATTGTAGTGAGAGGGATGCTTTTCACGTAAGAAATCTTCATTACATAAACATAGTTAGTCAATTAGTATTTACTTTTTTAAACTTTGCATTTCTGTTTTGATAATAGTTAAGTACTTTAGTTTTTATAACATCTCAACTTTAAAAATTAGTGACAATGATTTCGTTTGATTTTTTTGTAAATTTCCTAGTAAAACTTATCATTGCTAATTTACACCTTCCTTATGGGATCGATATTTGGTGATTAAATAGAAAGTCCTTTATTACTTGATAACGATATGTATACTTGCATAGAATCCCATTATCCATATTAATTGTCTATATGTATATATATTTTACACAAGGATTAAGTTTTTAGCGCTGTAGTGGTGTCAACTTCATAAATCCTTACATATAAAAAAATCGGGATCAAGTTTTTGGCGCTGTTGTGTGGGGAAGGTAACTGTTAAATTTAGGTAAATTAAATAGTATTGATAAATTAAAAAAGTTAGAGATAATATATATACTATAAAATTATATAAAAATAAAAAATATATATACTAAAAATAAAAAATCCAAAAAGAAAGTTTTTTAAGAGTGTTTTTTTTAAAGAATTTTATTTGGCTTACTTTATTTGTTTATACAAAATATTGGATGTAAAGGCTTAGTACCTTACCATTCAAAGTTACAACGTACTATTAGAAAAATTTGAAAACAATAAAGAGAAATTAAAAAAGTAAAAGAAATGGAAAATAACTTAGAAAATTCAATAAATGAGAATCGACAAAGACCTTAAAAAGATTATGCAAATCCGACAACAGATGAACTTCACTTGACAAATCAAAATCATGATGTTTTTTGCTAATTCATTTGAGCTTAAACCTGCTATTATCCAAATGGGACAAAATAATAAGTTTGGAGGATCACCTACTGAAGATCCTAACTTACATCTTGCTAGTTTTCTTGAGATTTATGATACATTTAAATATGACGGAGTGTCTAATGATGTTATTACGCTTAAAATTTTTCATTAAGGGATAAAGCCAAGGCGTAGTTAAATTCATTAGCACCTAGATCTATTAGAACTTGGGGAGAACTATCACAAAAAATTCTTGGCTAAATATTTTACACCCTCCAAAACCGCTAAGCTTAGAAATGATATTACATCTTTTTGTCAGTTTGAAAGGGAATCGATAAATGAAGCCTAAGAAAGATTTAAAGATCTTCTTAGAAAATGTCCACACCATGCTTGTCAGATTGGTTAATAATTCAAACATTCTATAATGGATTTGTAGGATCACTAAGATCTATTATAGATGCTGTTGCGGGTGGATCATTAATGTCAAAACCTTTTGATGGAGCATATTCTTTAATTGAAGAAATGACAATGACTACTAATAATGACTACTAATAATTTTCAATGGCCCTCTAAAAGGGTAAATCCTAAGCGAGTAGCCAGTATTCATGATTTTGAAGCAATTTCTATTTTGTCATCTCAAATTGCTACTATTTTTAAGAAGATTGATCAAATAAGAGTGAACTATTCTCAAATACCCCTAGTATTTGAGGAAAATTCACTAGGATAGATTATTGATACTCAACCATCTTATGAAACTTTAAACTCTATAAATAGTTAAAATAACAATCCCTATTCTAACTGCTTTAACCCTCGATGGAAAAATCACCCTAATTTTAGTTGGAATAATTATAACAATCTGGTGAATCCATTCAAAAATCAGAACAATCAAGGAAATCCTAATTTTTTACCTTATTATCCTCTAGAATTTTATTCTAATCCTAACCCACAAGTTAAGGAAAAGAAGTTGACGATGGAAGAAGTGATGTTGAATATGGGAAATCAAATACAAAATCAAGGGGCTGCTATTAGAATTATTGAAAATCAATTATTATTGAAAATCAATTAGGAATCAATTAGGACATATTGCTCCTGCACTTAATAACAAACATTCTGGAATTCCTTAGACTACTGTGGATGTTAATTGAGAAGGTCAAAATAAAGAGCAAATTAAAGTTATTCAATTAGAAGGAAGAAATGAAAAATGATCAACATGAAAATGAACAAACACAGGTTCCTTTAAAAAAACCATTACTTCCTTTTTCTCAAAGACTGAAGCAGAAAAATAAAGATAAACAATTAACAAAATTTTTGGAAATCCTTAAGAAATTAATGATAAATATTCCTTTTGTTGAAGCTTTGGAACAAATGCCAAGTTATGTGAAATATATGTAGGATGTACTAAATAAGAAAAGAAAGTTAACAAATTACGAGGCCGTTGCACTCAGTGAAGAGTGTATTGCTATTATTCATAAAAAGCTTCCTCAAAAATTAAAAGATACTGGTAGTTTTACTAACTGGTAGTTTTACTATACCTGTTTTACTATACCTTGTGCAATAGGTGAGAAGTTTTATGGAAAATCTTTATGTGATTTAGGAGCGAGTATCAATCTTATGCCCTTATCGATCTTTAAACTTTAGATTTGGTAGAAATTTCCCATACTACTGTAACTCTTCAGCTAGCTGATTGATCAATAACTTATTCAAAAGGAGTTATAGAGGATGAACTATTAAAAGTGGATAAATTTATTTTCCCTGTAGACTTTATAGTATTAGATATGGAGGAAGATTCCTATTATTTTAGGGAGACCATTTCTTGCGGCAGGGAGGGGCTGGCAGGAAGAGCTATAATAGATGTGTAAAA